ATTATAAAAAGATATGAGAAATTTTAGCTTTCTCTCAAATTCCAAAAAACCCTGTTCATAATAAGAAACATGATGACATGTTATTTTATAATCCGCTTACATTTACTTACTTTTAAAGTGAGTAACAAATTCTAATTTAATTTTATAAATTTAGTCATGTGTAACTACCACGATTTCTTTTAAATAAAGTCGTTCAGTCAATCAAGCTTTACTGAAGTGTTCTGATTGTTGATATAAAACAAATTAAAGCTTAACTAGTATTCAGTGGTTTTAGTGGAGTTTCATTCTCTGAGCTGGATGGTTTGGTCATGGAGCTTTCATCGTTCTTCTGAACGATATTATCAGCACAAACTTCAGATAGAAGTATTCAGTGGCTTGAACAAAGAAATTTTATGCATACAATTATACTGTACATTTTTCATAAGATCTAAATGTATTCTATTCATGTCACTGAAGTAGTAATTTTCTTAACTGATTATCTATAATCAATGAGATATTCGACAATGTAACTATGTAGTATTTTTTTTCCTTCTCTATAGAAACATTAGTGATATGTATTCGGAGATACGTTTATGAAGTAGACATTGAATACAAACAATGTAATGATTCCTATAGAACCAAATGAACTGAATGATTCACACAGAAACGATCAGTAGATGGCAATATATAACCATTTCGAAGGTAGAGAAATAATTATTTTCTACATAGTAATTGAAAACATAAAATTGAATTCATTCAAAGAAAACAAACTGACTCATCGAATAGGAAAAAAGGGAAAATTTTTCATTTGTATATAAGATAGATAACATTGTATCAACAATAAACGATCGATTATTCAGCTATATAGTTACAAAGGTTAGGAAACTTTCAAATTGTATATGTTTAAAAAGAAAAAAGGAAAATAGAATTCGATTGGTTTAATCACTTATTTATAAAACATAAATTGATGAATTGTTTAGTTTTCATCAAAATCTTCCCACAAGATAAGTTAATCTCTTATCCTTGAAAAAAGTACAATAACTATACTTTAAGAAGCTAACAGAGGTTAATCAATTGGAAACATTAGTATATACACTAATATTGTGACTGGACAACAAATGACAGCTTAGAAGAGGATCAATAAAGTTCCTATTTCTTTTTATTGTATGTAATCTATATAAACAAAAACAGAAGTATCAGAAGGGGTTTTGTAAAGATCGTAGTAATTTCAATAGTTGAAATCATGAGTCAATCGAAGGTAGATCACCATAGAAAACCTGGAAACACTGGTCAGCCGTTTCGTCCTATTGTAGGACTCCTCAGCAATGCGCATCCACGATCCCGCCTCGTGGGATTCAAATCACAGGACTTATCAGTCTCGAGTGTGAACGTTTAACTTCTAGACCACTGAGCTGACATCCAACGGTGTTAATGTTTAACTTCAACCAATCCACGAAATCGCACCACCGTCCACCATTGTCTTCAGTGAGCTGATATCGTGGATGCGTACTGCTGAGTAGTCCCACACTAGGAAGAAACGGTCGTCCAGTACTTCCAGGTTTTTCATGGTGGTCTAACTTCAATTGACTCATGATTTCAACTATTGAAAAAAGGGAAGTGTCATTTGAACGGAAAAGAATAATGTCTATTCAAAAATTATCAATTAAGATTAAGAAAAATGCATGAAACTATTGTACATTGTCAACCAGTAATAAATTATATATATATATATATATATATATATATATATATATATATATATATATATATATATATATATATATATATATATATATATATATATATAATTAACTGACTGAAATATAACTAGAGTCAATGTAAGTTTTCGTAAGAATTTCACATCTCTCAGACGATATCTGTCAAGAACGTTTTGATGAATTTCGGTAACAACATGATGAAATGCTATTGAAACAGTTGACATTGAGATCATCAGTTATTTGATCATTTCCAAATAATCATAAACTAAGCAGTTTACAAAAGTGCGACAAATCTTATATATTTCATTTATTATGCAAACATATTAAGCATAGATGGATAGTGGGTAGCAGTGAAATCCAGGATGCGAGTTTTGTCCTACCTAGGATACGTTAGCTGGATGTAGTTCTATCCCAGAGTTGATGTCCCTTTCGGGACTGGAATCAACTACTATTCACCTCAGACGTTATAGCTACTGAGTCCAGATGGCCACTGACTTGCGCGACAGGGTGAACTTTAGTTAGTATAAATTGGTTGTTTGTATCTACGGTCTTCGCTTAAACTGCTTGTGGCTTAATGACAAAATCAAGGAAATCCTCACAGCTTGCACATACACCAAAAGAGATTGATCAATCTCAGTCCTAAACATCAGTGGAAAGATACAAACAACCAATAATATCAGAATTGTCTAAGCAGGTTGTTACTTTACACTGACTTCGCTTGTTTTGATAAGCAACAAATAATAAATTTTCATCGCTTATTGAAAGGTTGACGAGATACTGAAGATCTTTTTTTGTTTACAAGTCTTACTCGCGTAGAACATATGTAAGTACTAATTGCTCGATAGTGATGACGAAATCGGTACAGGAGATTGCTGATTTTTTAATTGGCATCATGAACAGATCAATGCTAGACCACCATTGAAAACCTAGAAGCACTAAACGGCCGTTTCGTCCTGATAGGGGACTCTTCAGCATTGCGTGTCCACGATCACACACTTTGGAATGAAACGCACGACCTTCGGCCTCACGCTAACGCTTAATCTCTAAACCACTGAGCGGTTATCGAACGGTATTATTGTCAAACTTCAATCATTCCGCGATATCGCGCGGCACAGATGTAGCCCAATTTGTATGTGCATATGAAATATAAGTTAAATCTATATGTGAATTAATGAAGTTGGTTCATGGGTATTTTTTATGTTTTTCGGAGTGTAAATAAAGTCTTTATCTGCTTAGTATCAGAAGGGGTTTTGTGGAGATTTTAGTAATTTCAATAGTTGAGATCATGAGTCAATTGAAGCTAGAACACCATGGAAAACCTGGAAGCACTAGACAGCCATTTCTTCCTATTGTGGGACTCCTCAGCAGTGCGCATCCACACACCCCCACCTCGCGAGATTCGAACTCAGAACCTATCAGTCTCACACCAGGAGCTTAACCAACTAGACCAATGAGCTGGCCTGCATCCAACAGTGTTAATGTCTAACTTCAACTAATCCACGAAATTGCGCCACCGTCCACCATTGTCATCAGTGAGTTACTATTAGTTTTAATGTTCTGCCATGCGTCATGCAAATGTCAGGTTCCTTCTATTCTAAGTTCAACTTTTCTATTTGTAACACATTAAGGGGTTAGTATAAACATGCAAACAATATATATTAATCGCTGAGACTCCTACTAGTATCGAATATTATCACTTGTTAGAAAACATTGAATAAATGTTTAGACTTCGATATTTAGATTATTCATAGGATCAATAACTTGCAATTTCATCCAGTTAGTTCCTTTGATAAATGTTTGTAAGACAAGAATGAATGAATTGAATTCATTCCACTTTGTGTGTTGTTTTTGTTTGGTGAGTAACATCTATAAAATCATTTCAACTTTATTTCATGTAAGCAATTTTCACATATTTGCTGCACATGTTCGCATCATGATTTCTTTCTTGCACATATGCGCTTAATCTGTTTACCTATATATATATTGATCTATGTTTAAGGAACGTAGTTATAATTGACTAAAGTAATTCATGATATCATTGAACAAGAATTGAATACACTATAGCGGGGAAAATTTTCCTTCCAATGATGTTATTCACTGAAGTTATATAATCGTATTTATGGCTAATTCATAAATAAAGTAGTCTATTAAAAAATTGAAGGAGGATTACATCACTTCGGGTGTCTAAATAAAATTGTGCAACAATTGAGGGTTTCATGAGAAATAATAAGATGAAATCAAATGTACGAATGTTAGTAGTCAACTTGACGTATATAAGAAAGATGAAGAATAGATTAAAAATAAGAAAACAATGATAATGAACAAACGAAATTGAAAACATCAGAAGGATCTCTCAACGACCAAGTTACTGGATAAGGGGAATGGTAGAATAATGGCTTGCACCTTATCGCTGTTACGCTTATAGCTCAGATTTGAAAAGACACCTCTAAAGTGTACTACTGATTAGTTCATGCTTCTCTCAAATCAAATAGTTTAATTGCATAGATAATTTTGAAGGATGACTCTAGTGGGGCCAAAGGATCAGAGTTAACATGAAATACCAAAGTTAAACCATTGATTGGTTTATAAATGCTTTTCGAAAGCCACATAGTATAATGTTCAGAAATGAGTATAGAAAGCCCTCGTTTTGTACATTCATATTATTCTTTTAACCAATGAACCAAATCACTTTATACATGTTGGTTACACTCCAAAATGACATTTGTAAAACATTATTTTTAATTATATAAGTCAGTGAATATGTGTAAGATTTAGAGCATACAAAATGAAATTAATTTATTTTAGCCTACAATATTTGATTATTTTTGCATTATGGGAATTTGAAATCTGTCACGGTTTTTAGAATTAAACAACAAAACGATTACAATATTTGAATAGTGTATAGCAGTGGAATCCATGACATGCATTTCGTCCTACTTGGGATTTGTCAGCTAGATGTACCTGAATCCCAGAGTTGATGGTTATATGGACTCATCAGCTAAGTGGATAAAGTGATGCTATTTGAAGTAAATGCTATTGATTTCAAGTCCGGAAATAAACATCAACTCTTGAATTCAGGTACACCCAGCTGATGAATCACAAATAGGACGAAACGCGTAACCTGGATTCTACTCTTAGCCACCATCCATCTTTACTTATAATGCTTGTGATTTAGAACAATATCGAAACAATCCGCACAGAATACACATATGCCAATATGAGATTGGTCGACTACAAACTTAAACATCAATAGAAAGATTCAAGAAAAACAATAGAAAAATGATATATAATCACAATAATTACTTGTTGATTAAGTTGATCAAGAAATGATTGATTCATAGCTGGTTGTGAAACAACTTTTGTTACATTTTCAATATAGGTCTTTATATTTAATAATTCTTTAGGCAATTTTTCAGATAGCATATATTGATTAACTTTTGTTTCTTCCTCAACACGTTGTATTAATGCTAAATGATTGATACAAAAATAGTTGAGAAGGAAAGGAACTTAAATAATGTAAATAACAAATAAACAAACAAATAAATGTGAAGTACATGTGTTAAATGCTTTTTCTAGCTAAAACAAATGAATATTTTATAGAGGAAAATTGAAAATCTATACTTTATTATTTATTAAATAAATAACGTGACATTCTAATTTTAATAACTGAGATCATGAGTTAGACCACCAAGGAAAACCTCGAAGTACTGGACGGTCGATTCGTCCTAGTATGGGACTCCTCAGCAGTGCGCACCGACAATCCCGCCACTTGGGACTCGAACACAGGACCTATCAGTCTCGAGAGCGAACGTTTAACTTCTAGACCACTAAGCCGGTATCCAACGGTGTTAATGTCCAACTTCAATTAATCCACTAAATTGAGCGACGCATCCACCATTGTCTTCAGTGGTCTGGTCGATCTCCACTGTTCACTGCTTTCCACTAGAATTTTAGGAAATCCCTATTGAAGTCAGTCACTAGTGAGCATATATTTATCAGTATCATAAGGTGTTTCTGTGGATATTATAGTAATTTCAATAGTTTAGATCGTGATTCATTTGAAGCTAGACCACTATGAAAAACTTGGAAGCACTGGAAGACTGTTTCGTCCCATTGACTCATGATCTCAACTATTAAAATTACTATAATATCCACAAAACTCCTTCTGAAACGTGATATTCCAATAATAATCTTCGTTATTTATATTCTTCAAGAATACCGTAAGTTAATCAAAATGAAACACACACAAAAAAAACAAGTTCATTTTTATTTTGAACTGTTCAGCTAAATGAATAATTTCAGAAAAGTGGAAATCCATAATTATTACTTAAAAAAATAACGTGATATTCCAATGATATTGTATGACCATTACATTTCTGTATGCATGATTTATATATACCACAAAATTTGCTTGCCACCATTAAGCATTATTTTAAGTGATTTCATATATATCTTATTTCCCTTCTCTTCATTTGACCCGTTCATAGAACAGGAATCTGTTTTAACTTATTGCCTTATGCCCTATTTATATATAACGCAATGATATCGCCAATTAGAGAACAGTGATTTACCGACGAACCAATGATGTCTAAACCCGTACGAGCAGTCTAGAGTCTTTATCAGTCGTTATTCCTGTCTAGTCCTACCTGTTGAGTTCCGAATCCAAATCTCAGCCTCCGCGATATGAATCATGTAATTCAAGCATACTGGGTTTATATACAAATAAAACAGGCCATATCAAACCATAAAATAGAAAATAACATTTGTACAAGATCTTGCCCAAAGTGGCTGTGAATGTGGGAGACTAATGATTAGACATAATAAACATAACTTAAGAACGGTGAATCGTATCATAATAATCTATGAGTTAAAGTAAAGCTTATAATAAGAGGAACATGACTATGCATAGTTTAATTACTTAAAAATTACACGATAAACATATATGTATAGTATTAGCTCAGAAATAGATTCCAACAGTTACTATTCATTATTCTCATGGGAATATATCAGTATCTTTGTAAAGTGACGTGAAAACGAGTATATCACTTTGTATTGCAGTAATGAATTGTGTATACACTATTGAATTCATACACATAAAGCGGTTTATTAACGTCATAGTACAAGTAAGATCAATAATCTTCGTAGATAACTCATTTCGATAATGGAACTTTTATCAAATTAACTTAGGCAAAATGTTTACTGCAACATTAAATATTAGTGATATTCAGTTATGCAACTTTGAAATTATCTACTGAAAAATTAGTCCACAATTTACTTATTATGATACATATACAACAATATGCTCCTATGTAGATAGTATTACTTTGAGTACTTGTGTTCCATCATCTACCCCAGTGTATATAAATGGATGACTTAAATTTGAGTGACTGGATGTTTTTTTATTATTAGATAAGTCATATCAACTGGATCATACTTTGAAATAACTGAAGATTCTGTAATTTTCGAAATGCACTATGATTATATACATACTGTACGTAAATGTCTCGGAAATATAGTTATAGGCATTTACACTTTTGAAGTTGTATTTCATGTAACTTTATTTACTACAGATCTAATAACATGAAAGTACAATATCACATAATTTCAGAATTCTCTAGAATGACCTCATTCTCAGTAAGAACCAGGAATAAGACAATACAGGACGATATTTACTTGATATAAGAAATTAATAAATCAAGCAAAAAGAAATTAGTTTAGATTGAAGTTAATATAAATAAGAGAGGTATTCAGAGTACTGTATGTTCAGAATAACAAGAAGTAATCGAAATTGTGTAGCCCTGATGAATGATCTGATTGTAAAGCTTTCATTTTCATTTGAAACAGTATCGTTAACAGTTATATCACAGGGAAATGAGTAATTCGATATTATTTAACAAATGATAACCTTGTGTGTGATTGGTTGCTCTCAGATACTGTGTTGTCGTTAAGTGCATTAGTGTTCTCATCTACCATTATGTTAAATACATTTGGTCTAGACTATAATTTATGGACGAACCAATCAGGTATAAGATAACAGGTCTCAGATTTTGGCATGAAATTCACTCATTGATTTGGTTAAATAGAGTCTTGGCATTATACCTTATGTCAGTTCGTGATGAAAACCCTAAATCCAATTCTTAACCTAAACCATTAACTGTAAATCATAATTAGAATTCCTCAAATGGTTTTATAACCCTCATTTAGTCCTAGTTATTAGGTGGACACTCTCAAGACCAGTCCAGCGTGGCTCAAAGGTCATCCATAAATTATAGTCTTACCTATATATTGTACGCCAGTAGATTGAAATTGTAATAATAAATTAGCATTATGGTAATTCAAAATATTCTAGATACTCAGATGAATTGACAGTTAACTAAAAGATCAGCATAAAAATTGATCTACCAACTTATGGATGCAAAGATCATACAATCACATGATCATAGATCAATGAAAGAAAATTAGTCAATAAAAATACAAACATTTTTTGCTAATAACTAATCGTAAACAAAGTCATTAAAATTGATTGATTTTGGCAATTATTAATAAATTCTAAAGTGTTTCATTCTATTTGAAGTCTATACTAACAAGCTTATAAATGCTCTGGTATGGCCGAGAGCGGTGTGGGTTCGCCCTCCCACTCGAAATACTCTCACACGGCCACGCGTATACAGCCTCTGCCAGGGAAGTCCTACTCACTGCCTTCTCGTGACGGGGGTGTTGTCTACGAAATCAAGAGGACGAAAAGCGAATGTCCGGCGCTTTAACCGGGTCCCAAATCAATGGTGCACATTGGCTCCAGTATCCTGCGGGAACAAATGGAGTATGAACCGATCGTTGGTCACCGGCTACCATGGGACCGCATCTCCTCACGATGCTCCACTGCCTTGTGGGTCAGACCTTCAGGTCGAAGGCACGGGGTGTGGACCGCTAAGAAAACCACCTGCTTCGGTTTGGGCACCCGGACAGTATCTCAGCCCACACACAAAAACATGATAAACTGTCTACTTATGTAAAACTATTATGATCAGTATCAGATCAACTACATTCGTTTATTACATTACAAACCAAAAATACTAAATATAAATTAGTAATATTCATTTCTACACATAGCGAATAGTAATCGTTAACAATAAAAAAAGAAAGAAGGAATTAATAATTAATGTGTTTTTGTTAAAGCACAATGATCACAAGGGGTTTGTACAGATTTTAGAAATTTCACTGATTGAAATGATGAGTCAGTTGAAGCTAGAATACCATGGAAAACCTGGAAGTACTGGACGGCCGTTTCTTCCTAGTACGGGACTCCTCGGCAGCGTGCATCCACGACCCCGCACCCCGCGAGATTCAAACCCAGGACCTATCAGTCTCGCAATAGGCGCCTAACCAACTAGACCACTGAGCTGACATCCAACGGTGTTAACGTCTAACTTCAAACAATCCACGAAGTTGCGCCAATGAATAGAAATATTGTATTTCTGATGTTTCGTGACTTAATATAAACCACTTCTTCAGAGTAAACAAATAACCGACAATTAAATTAGCATAAGTTTAAAATAATATACAAAGAAATAATACAGAATACTCTGATACACTGTGACAGTTCACACAAATTCACATTGATTAAGAATAACTTAATATTGACATATTCAGATCTATTATGATTTTGATTGTACCAAAAATATTCTGTATTGTTTCCATTTTTTTACTATTTAAACTTGTGTGGTGTGAGTTACTTATATCCACTTAAGTAGTATATAACGTTGGTCTGGCATAGAATGTATTTTAGTGCAAGATCGATAACGAAAGAACTAGAATGGAACGTAATTGGTATGAAAATGCATGAACAATTAAATCTAAGACACTGAACTGATATTTGCAAAAGAAACAGTGAAGTTTGAGACGATGAATTGATATTTTGCTAGATGGTTTTCAGATTTTAGTGAGATGCTCTGTAAAACTTGTGCTCAGATACATTCGATTGCCCCCATTGGTGTTCTGTTCACTACAAATCTAATTGTCGGTTATTTATTTACTCTGGAGAAGTGACTTACATCAAGTTAAGAAACATCAGAAATACATCTTTTCTACTCATTGAAATATAACAAGTAGTATATTTATGATTAACTCTCCTCTACCAAATGCTCAATCTATTTGAAATTATCAAGTTAAAACTTGACATTGATACCTAAAAAGAAGGAATTAATTAAATACAGAATTGTACTATACATTATTGTCCATTCATTAATATTTCATATTTATTCATTTTGTTAACTAACAAGATAAAATTAATTCTGTGTTTGTTTGTTTTGTTTTCATCTAAGTGAACTTTTGAACTTAATTTTTCTAATCAATTTTGTTTACTAAACTTGAATTAAACAAAACAAATTATGGTCAATATATGTAAATGTAGTTTAAAATTGATGTTGGATAAGTTCATTACTAATTTATTATTATTATTTACGCCTGTTACTCCCAATGGAGTATAGGCCGCTGACCAGCATTCTCCAGCCTACTCTGTCCTCGGCCTTCCCTTCCAGTTCTATACAATTTTTGTATATTTTTCTCATGTCTGTTTCCATTTCTCGACGTAATGTGTTCTTTGGTTTTCCTCTTTTACTTTGACCTTGAGGATTCCATGTGAGGGCTTGTCTTGTGACTCAGTTCGGTGCTTTCCTCAATGTGTGTCCTATCCACTTCCAGCGTTTCTTCTTGATTTCATCCTCCACTGAAATCTCGTTTATTCTCTCCCATAGCAGATTGTTGTTGACAGTGTCTGACCAATGGATCCAAAGTGTTTTACGTAGACAACCGTTAATAAACACTTGTTTTTTCTGGATGATGGCTTTCGTAGTTCTCCAGATTTCCGTCCAATACAGTAGGACTGTCTTGACATTTGTATTGAAAATCATGACCTTGGTGCTGGTTCACAGTTATTCTGAGTTGTAGATGTTCTTCGGTTGTAGATATGCTGCTCTTGCTTTTCCGATCCGCGCCTTCACATCTACATCAGACCCACCATGTTCATCAATGATGCCTCCCAGATATGTAAAGGTTTTTACATCTTCCAAATCTTCTCCGTCAACTGTGATTGGATTAGTGCATGCTGTGTTGTATCGCTGAATCTTGCTTTTCCCCATATGTATGTTGAGACCTAGTGCTGCTGAGGCTGTCGCTACACTGGTTGTCTTCTCCTGCATTAATTGTGGCGTGTGCGACAGAAGAGCCAGATTATCTGCGAAGTCTAGATCGTCCAGCTACATTCTAGCTATCCATGGTATCCCATGCTTCCCCTCAGATGTTAACGTCTTCATGATCCAGTCGATCACCAGGAGAAAGAGAAGGGCTGAGAGTAAACGACCTTGCCTAACACCGGTCTTTACCTTGAAAGAGTCTGTCAATTTTCCTCCACTCACGATTTCGCAGTTCAATCCATTGTAGGAATTCCGTATGATATTGACTATCTTCTCAGGTAAGTTCATCATTAAACAATGAAGTAAACATCTCATTTTACATAGATAAGTGAACATTTATCATGTCCATATGATTTGTACAGGTCTATTACATTGTTGTTGAAGGAAAATGAGTATAGGACGTTGGATACTCAAGATATCAGATCTTTTCTATGAAGAAATTATGTGACAATTTGTGATCAATCATTCACTGAAGTTTTAAATCTTCTGAAGTGATTATAGGTGTTGAATGTGTCTTTTGTGAATAAACACCCAGATATTTGAAAGTAACTAAAAATAAATACGATAGTCATTTCCTTGATAAAAATATGAGAGATACTAGGAATTAAAAAAATTCAAAGATTTTGTTTTTAAGAAGCATTTTGATTAGTCTTGCAATTCAAAAGTGATCATTTATCTGATGTACTTAAGAATTATCTGTCTGAAAAAATTGAGAGAATACGTAACGCAGATAAGCCTCAACAAAATATTACAAACTAAAATCTGTTTTTCATATGCATGAAAGATAAGCTTTCTTGTACGGTCACTTTTTGATGGAGTTTTATTCTCTGAGCTGAATGGTTTGGTCGTGAAGCTTTCACCCTTCCAAATCACTTATTCTTGATGAGCAACGTATATTATGTATGAATAATGTTTGACTACAACAAGTATAAGCGAAAAAAATCCATCTTGTTCTTACAAATGAGTTCTTGAATATTTCACTGAATTTGACTCACCAACTAAACGGTAAATTGATCTTACAATTGTTTACTGATTAGGGGTTGTGGAGACTGTTAAGTTTTTGATTGAGATCATGAACCGATTGATATAAGATCACCATTGAAAACCTGGAAGCACGGGACAGCCGTTTCATCCTATTGTGGGACTCCTCAGCAGTGCGCATTCACGATCTCACTCGCAGTATTCCAACCCAGGGCCTTCAGTCTCGCGCGCAAACGCTTAACCTACTGAACCACTGAGTCAGCATCAAATGGTGTTAATGTCTGACCTCAGCCAATCCACGAAATTGCGCGACCATCTTTCATTGTACTGAGGTAGACACCTGTTTCTACCCGACAAGGATTAGCTCCACTGGTCACGGCTTCTCAACAAAACTCCGAGAATTTACTCGCGAAGCTAGTCACTAATGAGCACATGGTAATTTTCAGTTTGGGGATTGTGGAGATTGTTAAGTTTTTGATTGAGATCATGAACCGATTGATGTTAGACCACCATTGAAAACCTGGAAGCACTGAATCGCGAGCGGGATCATGGATGCTCACTGCTGAGGAGTCCCACAATAGGATGAAACGGCCGTCCAGTGCTTCCAGGTTTTCAATGGTGATCTTACATCAATCAGTTCATGATCTCAATCAAAAATTGTTTACTGAGTCTGTTTAAACAAGAGCAACTACCTAAACCATTTGTAGATGGATAGCTAACCAATAAGATGGAAACTGAATTCTGTCTTTATCGTAACTTAAATATACTAATATCATGAATCTTATTCTACATAGTTTTGTATTTGAGAATGCACATTTTACAATATTTTTACATTTTCTAAATTTACTCACTAATAACAATTACCATTATCATTTAACCTGTTAAAGTTTTGTTTATTCCATTTAAACCTTTTACCGATCTACAATCACTCATAGGATCTTAACAGCAGTAAATTTCATTATTTGTATATTGAATGTAAAAGAATCATCTTGCGCAAAACAGTTGAATTATCAGAATGTAATAAAAATAGTATCATATTTTCATAAATTCCTACCTGTTGCTGTCGAATTAGTTGTAGTTTTTCTTAATTCTTTAAGTTGTTGTTGAGTGATTTGAATACGTTGATCTGTATTCGCAATCTTGAAAGTAATTACGAATAAAATACAAAAGTTTAATAACAATATTTCACTAGACAGATACTACTAGAAAATGTCTGATCAACTACAGAGGTAATTGAATAGGTAAATACACTTGAAAATGGGAAAACAACGTAACTTATTCTTTGTATTGACGCATTAATAAATAGCTTAACCAATACATCACTGAGGATATCTTGTAATGATTTGGAAAAACTAAAATGAGTAGCAAAAGAGTTGAAATGATAGTGGTATCAGTAGAAGGGATAAAGATTAGATATTAGAGTATATGGTTTAAAAAGAAAGGATGAATTCAGAGAATCAGTCATTTAGTCATTCGCAACATTGGACTTGACACGTATATGCGTCGGCCTAGTTTGGAACAGCACGTTAACAGAGCAAAATAAAATTATCAAGACATATCTCAAATTTCTGAAGGTAGTAACTGAATCAGTAATAATAATAATAATATAAATAATAATAATAATAAAGAATAGGTGTGGAAAAAAGTATTAAGAGGTTTCGATTCTGAACTATGTTCCGTAAATGTCCTCAACAACTGATCATATAGGACTTTAATCAGGTCATCTAAACATACTAATATGTCTCAATCCAACGGCCAATAATTTCATGAACTGATAACGTCTTAATTCAATCTTCTCTTCTTCATTCCCAACCTATTCCTACACTAGTCAACACTTTTATTGTGTTCCGCTATGTTATTATACCCTAGTTTGGTCATCAGACAATAACAATTTATGCACGATTTGCAATATTCTACTGATAAAAACAAGTAGATAGTATAGATTATTTAATGGTTCCCTTAAAATCGTATCGTATTACGAAAATATAAATTATACAGGTTACTAATAGGCAGATCTTTATGAAAACATTTAATTTTACGTCGAGATAATAGACGTATTTTTGTAGCCAGATATTTTGAATCTCAGTATTCAACTTTGTCGAGTGTGAAGCAATTACCCACCAGAGACGATGGATAATAGTTGAGTAATATCGCGGATTGACTGGAGTTAGATCTTAATACAGTTGCATACTGGCTCAGTAGTCTAAAGGCTAAGCGTTGGCGTGGGGTCACTGGTCCTGAGTTCAAGTCCCGAGTGCCAGCTCATGAATCAGCACTGATGTGAAGTCCCATGTTAGGACGAAACAGCCATCCAGTGCTCCCGGGTTTTCAATGGTGGTCTAACATTGATTGGTTCATGATTTCAGTGAAATACATAGAACACATTTAAAAGATATCGCTTCATTGACCTCATCTGCTTGTTTTTGTGAAATAAGGGCAGAAGGATGATATTAGATAAATGGATTCAAAAACTATACAGTTTTATCAAATTAATTTATTTTCATTTAATAAGAAAAACAATATTTATTGGTAGTTACTTATATAAATAGTAAGTAGTGTAGATCAATAAAATTAATTTTGTGAATTTTGTACTTAATTTTTGGGACACAATTAACACAACGCTACATTTCTCAGTTTATTTTGCTGTAAAACCGGATGAAGTAGTAGGAAATACAAAGTTTCAGTGTTGCACATAAACTGTTGAGCGCTAAATACTGGTAGGCTATAGTCTATTTGAGATCTGACAGTAATATTAATGATACGGGCAGAACTAACGAACGAGCTCTGATAATTACGTGGTTTTCTTTCGCTCATATTTTTTTGTTTACTTCTTGCCATGTGTTTGTGTCATTTCAATCTTTCGAATAGTCCTTGACAAATTACAGTAAAGTGGAAGACAGAAACGGTTTGAGTTGAATTCGAGTTGAGAAGTGATGCAATTAAGTGGTGGAAAAGAGCTTTCTTGACGGTTTGGAGAAAATTTGACAGCTTCCTTCTTAACTATAGCCTTGGAAAATTTGATAAAGATCCAGCTAAATTGTTTACAATGCAGGTTAAGAAATGATTTGTGTATCACTGGCATACATTTGATTTTTCCAGACTAAATTTTGATTAGTTGGTTGGTAGAAATAGTCGTTGTCCTTGTGCCTCATATTTAATATGATAATTTCATACCGCCAATGTGTTCATCTGAGTGTATATCTGTTTCAATACGAATTTACTCATCGATATCTAGTTCCTGATTAAACAACCGTATAAGGGTGTTTGTTGTCACGTGATTTCACATATTTCAATTCACAGCAGTTTTGAATCAGCCAGAAGTCGATAAGTTTTATCGGTAACCAAATTTATTTCCATAAAATGAAGATATTTCGAATCACACGCATTTTTATTCCATCATTGTGATGTTGTAACAGACAAATAAATTGATATGAATATGGCAGTAATATAGTTGATACCCGTTAACTTTCGACTAGTTTAATGTAAAGGACTTCTACAGTAGTAATTTAACCTCAAGATACTCTCTAGGTAATCCAAAGTGTTATATATCCAAAGGGAATGAGTTGTCAATTTCGATTTGTCGCTGAGTACAGTAATAGTTGCTTTTTGTTTTCATTACACTGGATCACTTTTCAATTAAACTATTCTTTAAATCGTTGTTATCCTTAAGACTGATGGATAGATTGGAGTAGATTATTAATCAGCATTCAAATACCCAATAGAATATGGCTCAGAATAAGTGAAAATTGAGCACATTAAGCTGATAGAGTATACAGAAGTGCCGTATTGTAAATTAAATTTCCGCAGACAACAAAAAAATAAAAGCTTTAACACTGTTATCTAAAACCTGTAGGGTTAATATTTGGAAATGTATTCCCCGATCAAAATTAACAGTTTATCCACTTCAGTCACTCTAATAGTCTCATCAAATCAACAAATCCATTAGCGAAAACGCTCAAAATCTACCTTTCTTCATATCTTGAACATTTTTATTTAGAATGAAGCAAATAAATGTCACCCAGCCCTAACTTGGAATCATGAAGGGAAGAGGAAAAGAGGAAGGCCAAAGAACATATTACGTCGGGAAATATAAGCAAACATGAAAAAGTGAATAATAACTGGGAAGAGCTGGAAAAGATTGCCCAGGACCGGGTTGGATGGCGAGTGCTGGTGAGCGGCCTATGCTCCTTCACGAGGAGTAACAGGCATAATTAATTAATTAATTAAGCAAGTTAGTAAGTAAGTAAGTATGTAAAATTCAAGTGGTATTGGATGAAATTCATAAGAATACTTTAATATATCATCAGAGAAGCAGTTATTGTTTCATCAATTAAGGCTGACTTGATATGGTAGAGGTGACTTGTAGTTTAGGTGAATGCTAAGCTTCAACTAGACGTTGACACTGATGATGTCGTCCGAAAGGAAAATAAAAGATTTTCAACTGTTCATCTTGAAGAATGCAGCATGCTAAAAGAATATTGATTTAATAGAAACAATTTTAAAATTATTACAGTAAAAAACTGTACCAGTAATTAAAACTCACTAGTGACTTCTGTTCTCTCATTTGTTTAGATATTTTGGTCTCCTTTTCTCGCTCTAGCCGCAACTTTTTCGCCATTTCTAGCATTGTATTACTGGTAGGAAAAGCTTCCAGCTATGGAAATGAACTTGTATTTACTTACAGCATTATTACCAGAAGAAAAAGTAATTCATACCAGAAATAATGTTAAATATTTCAAGCGAGTGATTTTTTTTATTGGACAATCTTACTGAGATTTAGTTCTTAAATCAGATTCAAGAAGCAATCGTGGAAACATTTATTATTAGTTATGAGGTCACCATTTGATGTCAATAACTAGGTCTAAGTAATGCCATAACCAGACGTAGGGAAAAGCATTGGAATATGTTCATCTCTACTGGCTTAGAACAATACAGATCCAGTTATTGTAAGATTAGGAATGCCTGTGAAGCGTTAATAAGCAAGACTAGACGATCATATGAAAAACAATTGGTTAGGAATTCTAAATATAGTCCGAAACCGTTATTTTCTTATATAAAAAGGCGTAATCGGAATTTCATCACCTTTGGTACCAGAAAATCCGTTAATATTGGCAAGAGGTGATGCCGGAAAGGCTAATGCCTTATACGAATATTTCAGCAAAGTGTTTTCTATCAGAAATGAGGAGTGACCAACAATTAATTGTGATTGAAGCTGCTTGTTGGAGGATCCTGTAGTTATTGGGAAAGGTGTTGTCTTAAGACTACTTCAGCATTTCAAACTTGATAAGTCCAGTGATCCTGGCGATATTCACCCTAGAATTATAAAGACTCTATCGGATGTAATTGCTGAACCTATAACCATGCTTTTTGATATGTCTCTGTAGCAGCTAAAACTGCCAAGGGACTGGAGAGACGCGATAATTAGTCTGGTGTATAATGCTGAGAGTAAAGATTCAGTTAGTAACTATCGACCTGTCAGTCTAATTAGTGTACTCGTAAAACTAATTGGAAAGATTATTCGGATGACTGTTATAAACTATGTGAAGGGCATAATCTTTTATCCAGGGAAAAACATGGTTTTCGGAAGGGCCTATCATGCTTGACAAACCTGTTTATTGCAAGAGAAGATTGGACTACAGCAAAAGATCGAAATATTCCTGTAGATGTAATTTTCATATACCTGAGTAAAGCTTCTGATAAGGTCTCTCATTTAGGTCTTAAATTAAAACAGGAAAGTTTTGAAATACATTATAAGGTCATAGACTGGATAAGTGGCTTTCTTAATAACAGAAGACAAAGAGTAAGTGTAAATGAAGCTGTCTCATCATGGAAACCCGTAAAACGTGGAGCTACTCAAGGTACAATCCTCGGTCCTCTTCTCTTTTTACTTTATGTCAATAAATTACCAACTGTATCAAAGTCATCCGTTCTATTCTTCGCCGATAACATAAGGATTTGAAGATCCATACAAAGTATATCAGATAGAATAGTGTTACAAGATTACTCATTAGTAGCATGGATGGGTGGATGATCACTAGAAGTAAATTGTAACAAGAGTGGTGATGCAATTAAATAGTTATGATGATCCATATCACTACACAATACGTGGATTTGTGTTACCCAAAGTAATAGACTATAAAGACTTAGGAGTCACGATAAGCAGCGACCTCAAAACTACAAGCAGCTGCAAGGTTGCTTCTGCCAAAAACTACAGAATATTATGGGCTAGTCATGGGTTTTTTCAGCATTTTGACGAAGAAATGCTTAGATTATTATCACTGAAGACTAAATACTGAGGAAGGTTGATCTATGTTCAACAGCCTGCCTTCACAATAACAATAGAACCTATCATCTACTGTGTTAAACGCTAACTGGTTATCTACTAAGCTCCTGATTTCAAAAATAGTTGGAATAACCATCAAGGTAATAAAAAGTGAAGTGTGCATATGATCACTTTAAATATCCAGATGGCGAAGCAGGTATATGAAGAGAGTTATGAAGAGTAAATAAGGGATGAGAACAACTAGTAAGATCGCTTATTTGGTATTATTTGTTGGATAAAAGAAATCGAATATTTAAAGCATTTTTTAAGTGCAAAGATTGGGATGGTTGACTCGGATTTACGTGGCTTCAATAAACTAAAAGATGAGATCAAACTCTACACGCTAAAATTTGGTGAAGACTTAAAGTTTGCTACCATAGTACATGCATTTTATCTATTTTCAATGACCATGAGATCCTCATTATTGTTATCAGTAAATAACAAACCTCTTAGGTTTGTACAGTATTTCATACATACGTATATAGTTTTAATTGCAAATAAAAGCCAAGTCGGAACCCAGAAGGAAGCAACGTCGTTCGATTATCTTTTGCCTTAATTTGCAAATTTTTGATATGTTAGACTGACACATGGGTGACTGAGGTAACTGTCCTTCCATTGATAACTAACCTCAAACCTCGTAAGATACCGGGCATGGCAGGTTGCATCCACAGCTGCTGTCATCTCTTGCGGACATTATTTCAAAACCTCTCGGGACACTCTTCAGCATGTCCCTTTCACTCGCTCAACTCCCAAGAGATTGAAAAGACGCTATAGTCAGTCCTATATTTCAGGATGGTCAGAGACAGATCGTATCTAACTATCGGCCTGTCAGTCTAACCAGCATAGTCGTTAAGTTACTTGAAAAGATAATTCAGGTTAGGTTGCTAAGCCACATAGATTTACACAGTCTGTTAGCTCCTGAGCAACACGGATTTCGTAATCGGCGTTTATGCTTGACTAACCTACTAATTACGAGAGAGGATTGGACAGCAGTCTTAGATAAAGGCCTGTCTATCGATGTGATATTCACAGATTTTAGCAAAGCTTTTGACAAGGTTTCACACTTAGGTATTATGCAGAAGCTCACGAGCTTCGGAATAATAGGTACTGTACAGGAGTGGATTGAAAACTTCTTATGTGACTGCAGACTGAGAGCGAGGGTCAATGGAACGCTATCCGATTAGAAGCCGGTCAAAAGTAGTGTACCCCAAGGCACCATCTTAGGCCCTCTGCTCTTCCTTCTCTACGTTGACGAGTTACTGCTGTTGCTTAGTTCGTCGACATTATTGTTTGCGGATAATGTAGAAATTTGGAGAACAATAAAAAGTGAGGCTGATCATTTAGGTCTCCAAGCTGACTTAAACGAATTAATTAGATGGGAGCGAGGTTGGGGTTTAGAAATTATTTCTAGGAAGAGTGTGCTAATGCACATCGGTCACGGTAATAGTTACCATTATACTATTGATGGTAAACCTCTTCCATGCGTTCAAGAACATAAAGACTTAGGATTAATAACAAGCTATGACTTGAAAACAACTATGCATTGCAACGCAGCTGCTGTCAAAGGTTTTTGTGCGATATGGTCAGCTCGCCGAGCATTCAAATGCTTTGACGAGTAAATGATTCGAATTTTATATCCCACCTATGTAAGACCACATTCAAAGTACTGTATCCAAGCAGCCAGCCTATGTCTGGTAAAGGATACTAACTCACTTGAGCGTGTGGGAACAAAATTAGTGAATGGTCTTTCTAAAATCACTTATGATGAGCGTTTAAAACGCCTAAACCTTTTCCTCTTGTCGTATAGTAGGACTCGAGGTGCCTTATACTGGCATTTCGTATCTTTAATTATGATTTGGGTGTTAATAAGTCTTATCCTTTTGCTCCCTCCAGCACCAATAAATTCCGAGGTCATAGTAAGAAGGTTCACAAACCGCGATCTAATAAATTTAAAGTGGGGTCCTGTTTTTCTCATCGAGTATTCAATGACTGGAACGCCGTACCCGAACAAGTGGTATCATCCCCATCAATGAATATTTTCAAGGGGGAGCTGGACCTTCACTGGAAGACAATCTGTCAGGATTAACACAGGTTCACCAACCTACTATCCTTATTACTGAAGACTGAATATGGGCTAAATTAATAGACAGAGAATAAATATCTGTACAAACATATTAGCAGCATGCACATCATTAACAAACTAGATAGGAACGTGAAAGTTTTCTTCAGTTATAACAGTTATATTTTCCAGCTCACCTTCTTTTTCATTCTTTCTACTCGTCTGAGTAACTGGTCCTTTTCCTCTTGCATCGCCGAAATATCTTTCTTCACTTCTGCAGTCGTAAGTCCGCCATTTTTAACGCTTTCAAACTTTTTATGAGATTCTTTGAAGTTTTCAATCGAGTTTTCATACTTCAGCTGCATTAGAAAAATTTTGTATCCAACTTACTTGTTGATAAAGTCCTGCTATTTCCTCATCCTGCATAAAATCCACGGGAATACTGACTTTAACAAGATATTGGGCTAAATATGCACGCTTTTTCAACTCAGGCATTCTAGTGAGAAGCCACTCCAAAAGAGGGTATATGATAATTTTATCTCCAGTCACTAAACCCTGGCGAAATAAGCTCCTTGTTTTAAAAATATAACACACCTATATATATATATACTTACAGCTTTTCTGGATCGGTTGGTAATTTATACCTAAATACCCTAAAAGCTTCAAACATTCTAACAGCCATCTTATCAGGAGGCTCCTCCCTGATATCGATTTTATGCTGAATAAAAACTTTAATAATATGAAAATTCCCAGTACTTTATTATCTATTTCACTAAGAACATCATTCAGAACCTGTAGAAGACGGACAGGTTCTAGCGAATCGAAAGATATTAGGTTAAAACTCCTGTTAAATGGCTCGTCATTCAGCTTTTGAATGATTAGTCGTATTAGTTCGCTCATGATAAGGGTTTCTATGCTTTTAAAAATGTCAGTCGCTTGTTGTGAGTATCTAGCACAATTAAACAAGTTTGAGTGTGGAGAAGATGTCAGAGGCGATATTTCCCTAGTAGCCGATAATTTTATTACAAATTAGCTGGACAAACATCTAAGTCGAATGTATGATTTTTAGATAATGGGAAGCACCAATCTATACCAACTATCCCAGTATTTTTGATAAGGTGTAGACGGTTGACTTGTTCTAAAGGTAAGCCAACCCTCCCCTGATACGGTTTACGCTGTCTGTTTAGTATTTTCATGTAGACCCTTGATATATTATTTGTACGCAGGAATACCAAATTTTTTGCACGTTTTGCACCCTTACGCACGTACGAGTGTATTCCGACATGATCCTGCACTTTCACTTTTTTATTCTCCAGGACAGACGGATAATATGAAAAAAATGGCGAATAATACAATCAGTGTATATCTTCACTGTACATTTTTTCGGCGATATATTGTATTACATGGGTCACTGTATCATTTAAAGACGATCGGATGCTGCCGAACGTAGCAAGCAATCAGAAGAATGCCTACCATAGACAAACTCGTCGATTTAAACGCCTGGTTAACCATGTATTGAAGTCATCACTACCCCACAAGGGTATGAGTGAACTGTAGAAATAAATAAACCCCTAAAATAAATAGTTCTTTAATTCTTCTTCATTGATGCTGGCCATATTATTTCTACCGAACACACCCTGGCTGAAGGGGCTCGGTCACTCATCCACACCAGATCACAAGTAGGTACACTATACCACACATCTCCTACAGCCGATAGCCAGCTTAGATGAAACGCTATCCGATATATCGATAATCTTCCGAATATATCTTCGAACAAATTCATTTCTGACTTCTCACTTGACTACATTGGAATACTTAGATTGTAATCGAAACAAACTTCGGGAATCCTAAGCCAACGCAAGTGGCTTTTCATGCACTTAGTCACCTTAAATTTTGGCATGGTAAACAGAATTACGTTTCCTTATTTGTCTTACACTTAAATTATGGTTGTGCGTTGAATGTCGGTCATACGGATAGACAGATTGATTACATGCTGGTAGTTATCCATCCAGTTCTACAGGGCTTCTTTGTCTGTTACTGTTTTGATATTAGGAGTTAACCAAGTCAAATGAGCCATCATGGCTTCTGGTTTAAGAAAGTATTAGAGAGTCCGTTAAAAAAAGAACTTAAGAATTACATATCAGTTGTAATATGTAAATGCTTAGGATGTGAGTTGATTTATTGGTGATAGGGAATAATTCAACCTAACCATAAACCCATGTTTCACCACACAAATACGATGAATATCGTTATTGTGACAGAAAGGTTGGGGTAAATAAAACTTTATTTACAGTTCTTGATTGCTGAAATAGATACCATGCTCTCGGAGTCTGTGGAGTGCTAGCTTTTGTGCCTATGTAGCGGCAAATAATTAACATTAGTGGCTTTGTGAGAATCTAAAATTGGTACTGACCATACTAAGTTTACCGGACACACCACTAGCTGAAGTCATCCGATCAAGCGTCCGGACAAGACCACTTTTCGGCCCATCGTGTGACATGTCATTGATATCTGGCCAACATGGCATGGGTCTAGCTATCTCGATTAACTACCCTAGTGATAGTTGCATCAGTCGCGACGGAGACAAACTCATACTCTCGCGAACATGGGGCTTGCGGGTTGAATACTCGTGAAGTCGATTGTTAGGAGGGCCAAAAGTAACATTATATTTCAAGAGAGGACCCGACAAACGCATAGCCACCCACTGATTATCATCCCTCACCCTGACCCGTTGTCTCTGATCCATGCCTCGTAACCTGTTTACTATTATCACCACCACATTCCGTTAACTTATTTCAGTCTAGCTTTTAACCATCGTCGTAACTTATTTGATTCTTACACTTCAGTCTACCTACAATGCTTGTTTTAATAATTAGATGGCTTATTTATTTACCTGGTGAGACAATCGTATCTCTTGGTATACGAATTTTCTTTATATTTTTACGGTGCCTTAGAATGTGACAGCTGATGACTTCAACACCCCTCAAAAAACCCATCAAAGTGATTAAAATTAGTGCTGCTGAGTGGCTACATTACGAAAGTCAACAAACTGCATCACGAGGCAAGCCCCAACTTGGAATCCTGAAAGGAAGAGGAAAAGAGGAAGGCCAAAGAACATATTACGTAGGGAAATATAAGCAGACATGAAAAAAAAACAACTGGGAAGAGCTGGAAAGGATTGCCCAGGACCGGGTTGGATGGCGAGTGATGGAGAGCGGCCTATGCTCCTCCATGAGGAGTAACAGAAGTAGGTGAGTAAGTAAGATGAGTGGCTAGACTAACGCACATGTGACATCAACAAGGCTCCGGAACCATATCGATGCTGTCAGTTGGTTTGTATAGGCTTGTCACAAAGAAACTGGGTCTATAAAGTCGTTTTTAGTTGTTTCAAAAACACTTCGAAAAGAGATTCCGGTGTAGGTGCCTTAAAGTTCTGCTGGATTCAAATGTTTTCGCTTGATAAAGACTTTTTATACATAATTGCACTCATTCCAGATCTTACAACCAGTCTTTGATTGTTTGATTGATAGTTCGTGTAATTGTTTACTCCTAGTGACACAGGATAAAAACAGGGGGAGAGTTAAGGCAGACATTGCAAAGGTATCGCTGTCATGCACTCTAATTCAAAAACGCATTTATTTCTTCTCTGAACATATATCAAATAGTAGATAGGAAATGAAAGATAAGTATTTGACGTGATTTGCTAATTCAGTCGTGCGTAACCACCAGTTTTGTGTCAATTGTTTTTGACCCTTCTAAAGACTGTAGTGACTCACTTTTATCACGAGAACACGACTGTTTTAATGAAAACAATTATTATTATAACCAACTGTACCAGTGTTTTTTTTAATGTGGTTTTGTTTAACTGTGCCAATTACAGCCATTTTGTGCTTCCATTATCTTCCATCATTGTTCCGCGGTTTTCGCCTTTGTTCGCACGTACTCCATTCTCCTGCTTTCGCTTGCACGATCTTGGTATTCGTTCGATATCACGAGATCGCCAACGAAATAAATCTGGTTACGTTCAACCTACGCCTTCTGATTTGTTTGGTACGCGTTTCCTTGTATTGGCGTTCATAGTCAATTTAAACTCGACACCACGCTACAAGACTTTATGCGTCATCGTTGCCCAAGAACAGCAGGCTTGGAGAAAAAAGGCTTTTTTGAAGACCCTTCATAGGACATAAGGTTAAATGTAACATAAGAATGAATTAATAGACATTTGATATAGTGGTTAGGGCGGACCCACTCATTTTCGACTGTTTACGATCGGAAAGTCGTCTTAACGTGATTTCAACTTCCCAAACCTTTCCTGTGATCTTACGCAACAAAAATACGACAGTTGACACAAAATATTCGTTATGAGCCTAAATCTCGGTAGATTACCTTTCTCCTCGAGTTTTTTCCGATTTAATAGTTAACTGTGGTTTTTATCTCAGCTTACCATTCACCTTTTATGATTTTCACATCAAAGCTGGTCTCAGTATACCTTAACGTTTTATACTACTCGTTTTTATCGTCTTCCTTTATTCGTTTTGGTCATATTGATTTTTTTGCGATCGTTAACACTTGATGGGGTTTGTTAACAACTTATATTCCACCATAGCCACGATACCATTTCGCTGTCACCTGTGATATGCTGACAAGGTTGTGGAAAAATTGTCGGAAGCCCTGTAAAAAAGCCGTTCTGAAGCGGATAAACAAATAAAGACGTACAGTGAAGCAAATAAGAGGGTCCTCGAAAACGTATGTGTTGATGGAACAAATATCAACACTAGTGAGGACATGTTAAATCTTAGTCCCACCATAATATCGACGGTGTTATACTTTTTTAACGAACTTGGGTCTACCAGCACAGCCTTCTCAAATGCAAATGTCGTCCACCAAAATTATGTAAGTGACTGGATCCCCTATAGTATTCTAATTGTCGTATGAATTAGGAATTCCAGGATTAACGCAATTGAATTAAGAAGACACAGGCACCAACGAATGTATTTTATTTAGAATTCGAAATCAAGCATTCAACCAGTACAAAGATATCATTGGTTCATTCAAACACCACATCCGCCACAGCCTTAATTGCAGTCTAGGTGTTTGTAATCAATCGTACATCTTCTCAAATTCATCCTGAGTCTGTCTGACATTGTATTGGATAAGGATTCTGTATTATCTAGAATATGCTCATTAGCATTAAAATTAACAATCGAAATTGGAACTGACTCACCTGGTTCCTGAAATTGTATTTGATCTACATGTCGACTGTGTGTACTTAAGTCATCGATGTCTAGAATTCGCACCATCGATTTTCCGACATTCTTCAGAACAATACCCGTAGATGGTTGAACATCATTTCCACGATAGTATGCAACTTCTGCAGACTCCAGACATCTCATATTCGACCGAAGAATTCTTCCTTTCAATAGCTTCGCTGAAGTCTCCTTCGTCACCGAATGTTTGGCATTTCTATATTGCAATAGAAAGGTATCTACTCCCCTCTCCAGCTCATTAAATGTTGAGGGGGCTATAGAATCAGTAGCAGTCTTTAATGTCCTAACAAAATTCTCTGCCTGACCATTAGAACACGGATGTCTGGGAGCAGTAAATAGATGTTCGCACTCTATACCGTTCAACCAGGTAGTGACTGCATCTGCAGCAAAATGTGAGCCATTATCAGTCACCAACACCAAGGGAACACCTTCTCGACTAAACACCTTCCTTAATGCTTGTATTGTGAAATCAGAATTTGGTGAAGTTGTGAAAAAAACTTCAGGCCACTTTGAAAAAGAATCAATGACTACTAGTGCGTAGTATTTACCAAGAAATGGTCCACAATAGTCAGCATGAATCCTCTGCCAGGCCTCAGACGATACTGGCCATGGCACCCACTTCGAAGGATGATTTTTCAACTGATGACATTTCTCACAATTG